TAAGAATAAGCCAAGTTTATATTCAGCCGTACGGTTTGCGAAAACGAACTCACCTCCTAGCCGAAGCTCTGCTGTGCCTTGGGCGACATCTTGTTCGTTTTTCACGAAACACTGGTACATGCCTTGATCGTCTCTCGTCACAGATGGCAGATGGAGCATTTCTCTCGTCATACCCGGCTGGACAGCCAGGCCGGATATCGGCTGACCGTCTTTGAACCAGAGGACGGAGACTACGGGATGTCCCGCGGTGGTGCATGAGAAACGAGCCGGTTGTCCTAGAGCCGCGGTGTGGAGACCAGGCGAGACCCTCGCCGTCAGAGGCGACGTCACGAGAAGGTTTACCTCCATCCGCGAGCTACCAGCAGAATTGCTGGCAATGCAGATATAGCGTCCGGAATCGTGGGGCCTTGGTCGTGGTAAAACAAATAGACCTCCGCCCCCCGTCGTGTAACGTTGTTCATCCCCTGGTTCTGGGAGAGGCGAACCTCCAACCTCCCACCTCAACAGACCAACCACACAAAATCGCAAGTGATAATTACAGATCCTTCTTAAAGTTTCCACTTTAATCAAGAAAACACGTGAGAAGCTTTGCGAAATCCGCGCTAGGATTATGGATGGTGCCTTCGTACGTAATGAAACCAAATCCATAATCATGAGCTCGTGAATAGGATTATACGAAGGGCGTCTATCGGCAAGGGATTTCATTGTAACATTATATTAGTAATAGTATAATACGAGTAATATTTCACAGTAAAAGGATTATTAATTTTATTATTAATATTATAAAATATAACACGTTGGATGATATTACAATAGGTCTGACAGAAATACGAGGTAGCATTGTATAGTCTGGTGGAAGTTTACGTACGTTTCAGAGGTCCCTGCTGCTTCCATAATCAGATGACACTACAACCATGAAGGCAGTTATGTTCGTAAAATTTAAAATGGTAAACCTAACTTAAGTTTAGTCTCTGAGCTGTGTTGAACGTCGCAGAGAACGGAAGATAAATGTTATGATGTGGGCCGATGAGAGAATATATAAAAAAAAAGATGGAAACACAGTCGCTGACTGCGATGTACGTGCCGGTTAATTAACTATTGATCATACATTATACTCCCCTGTGGGGAGGACTTTTCCCGAGTCATCAAAATGTATACATTCCGGTGTGTAACGGAAAGGTTATACACATCAAAGCAAAATTCTATTGAAAAAAATTATGTAATACACCAGACAACAACAGAACAAAAACGTATTTTGTACGAACAGCATATAAATATCGAACTGATACACAGAGACGAGACATCGTAGTCACAATTCACGTAAAACGCGAGATTACAACGCAGATCTCGCAAAATACGGAGATAACGTTATGAAGTCTTCGTGGGCTATCACAACCCTGAAGATGAGAGCAGAGATGGTCTCTGAAACGTCGGTGGTTTTAAAATAACCGACACGGCTGACAGCCGAGTCTTTTTAATTTTTATAAGGAGCAATGTTAAGTTAAACAAAAATTAATTACGCGTCATAATTCATCACCCATAAATTCTTCCTTCTTGAACTAAGACTATTGGGGGTTGTAAAGAACGGCATGTCTATTAAAAGAGCTATAACAGCATAAAACAGTTGGAGTACTGTTTAATTATCTGAAGAAATTAGTAATCCGAACAACGTTTCAGATAATCGATTACACGATACATTAATTATCAAATTGTTTATAATTATCCAAACAATCTGAAATTATAAACTAGATACTTTCCAAGTTAATTGAATTCGATGAAGCATTACATTTCAAACAAATAAACGAAATTTCTGGATATCCATCATCTAGATTTTTAGATTGTGGCCAATGGTGTAGGATCTTAAGGCGGAGACAAATATCAGTCTCCGAAACGTCGTGTTTCTTTTAACGAAAGTTGTACCTGTAATCTGGAGGAGGGTGACCTCTGGCGATGCACGGAAGAACTACAAGCTCATCGCGGCGAACTTCGATGCTGATGGAGCGGTCGGTAAACTGTGGCGGAGTGACCGCCCTGGCTTCCGTCACCGTGATCCTGGCGACGCCTGTGCTGGGCCTCGTCTCCCCCGTCAACCGGTGAGTAACTCGACATTGGTAACTGGAGAAGCTGTCGGCGCTGGCAGCGTTCAACACAACGAGCTCGCCAGAGGGCAGCATATGAAACTTGCCGTCTGTGGACGCCAACGCAGAGACATCTCTTAATTTTAAAAGAAACTTCTAGGGATATCGACCTTGACAGCTAACACAGCTGATAGCCAAAGACAACATAGGTTTCCAGGTTGTCACAAATCGTGAGGAGTGAATTTGTCAAAACTCTATCAAATCCCAAGGTTGTTCGAGGTTTAATTTTTTTTGAAAATGAGTATATAAACATCGCATTTCATCTTTCATTATGCGCAATCACTATAAATGTTGGACAGTGCATTACGTCAACAGCCAGAACGCAAGCATGTAGAGTGTTAGCAGTCGAGGTCTGGCTAACAGACGAGGAATGTAAGCCTGAATGAGGCGGCTAACATGATCCACGATGGTTAAATAAATTTTGAAAGAAGCCTAATACAGCGCAAAAATCCTATTAATTAAACCTGATATAAAAAATAATATTTCATGTGCTTCGTACATTAAAAAGCAATGCATTCATTACGTAAGGTACGTCAGAGTTTATTTTCATGGCGTGCAAGCAATCTGTCATTTTTCAGCTGATTTTATTGGTGTTTTGTCCTTTCAATACGAAGCGAGCGGGACTCATAGTACATAATAGGAGACTCACGTCACTGAAAATGTTCTGTTTAGTACAGATGAATGGAGCATGATAGGACCCGACAGAAAAATCCTACATACAATAAACCTTTGTCCACCGAAGCACTACAAGTTATAAAAGAAGCTTCCTCCTCGTTTATGAAGCTTATGGTTTACCCTCAGGACATTGGTCTATTGGCCTACGCATCGCTTCCGTCTTTCGTATTTTTCTAGAACATGGCCGCTTTGCGCAAGACGTAAACAACTGATCGACACACAAAATAAGGCGTTGACAGACAGGGTGTCGAGGAGGATATTTGGGCCTAGGACACAATACGATGGTGTCTGGAGAAAACCACGAAATGACGAGCTTAATACTCTGTACTCCTCCCCTAATATTGTCAGGGTGATTAAGTCGAGAAGAATGAGATGGGCTGGGCGTGTAGCGCACATGGATGGGGCAAGAGGTGTGCACCTGAGGGGAAGAGACCTCTGGGGAGACCTAGACGTAGATGGGAGGATAATCTCAGGCTGGATCTATGGGAGATAGGAGTTGAAGTAGACTGGATTTTGTTGTGGAGGGCTTTGGTTAGTTCGGTGATGAACCTTCGAGTTCGGTAAAGCCATCTAGTTAGTTAGTGTTTTTATGAACTTACGGACAAAGTAAAATATCCGATGACATGTATCAGTCAATATCCTAAACGTTTGATGCTTCTCCGATATGGAAATTCACTCGGTACTGATAACACGACTCTAGTATTGGACGCGTGGGAGTAGATAAAAAAGAGTTTTAAAACGCGTAGGACATCGGTTTTAAAACACGTAATAATCTGATGCTGACAGTGTTAATTCCACGTGCTGTGCGTTTCACTGTTATTTTCGATACAAATAAATGTACGGTTTTTTCCCCCATCCTTCCGCATGTGTCGCTTATAATTGCTTGGTTGTTAATTTTATTTCCCCAAAAATATTAATATTAACTCCAAATACAGATAAAGATATTTACAGAGGTAAAATTAATAATAAATTAAATATGGCGCGGTATGTACACGAATTACATATAGGCCTATTATAATTTAGAAGCCGAATTTTATGAGAATCCTCTCTGTATATATTAAGTATTAAAACCAAATGTATTTAAATCAGTACGTATTTTTCCCAGAATTCAATAGAGCGCACGTGATAAGAGAAATATTAGATTCGACGCGGTCTCATCTCTGAGTTGGCGTTTAAAGCTTAAAGTTACAGCTTAATTAAAACTTATTGATGTTGTTGCTGTTATGGACTTTAACGTCATTTATAATCTCAGGTAGAAACCAATGTTTCAGAGAAAGGTTACCACTGTCTCTGTCGTCAGGGGAAGAAGAATATTTTCTCAGAAAAGTTGGTTTCTACAAAATGTTAGATTCTGCCTACGAGTCCACACGACTCACAGCCCAAGACATCATCATCATCATCGTCTTCGCAGCTGTGACGTCACGGAGTAAAAGTTCGCGTTTGCAATTTGTCAGCAAACAGAAACATTCTAACTCAAGAAAATTGCTGCTAACGTTAATTGTCTATCTCGAAGGCTCACAAAGGATCCTGTACATTACGGAGACGTGTAGAAACGGCAGCCATTTTGTGAGCTTCGTTAATTCGTGTTATCATATTTATTCAGTGTTCTGTCTGACGACAGGTCCATATGAACAGGATCCTTCCATCCTTTTCTCCGACTGGGACCTGTTCATATACGTTCTTGGCAGATGATCCAGAAGTGGTTTGCCATTGCCTTCTTCTGTGTGTGAATAGAGTAATTGTTGGGATGCCACGGAGGAAAACTCCGTGTTGCCTAGACCACGGCCTTGCCCAACACAAGTTATAAATTCGGGCACCGCCCGGAATCGAACCCGAGACCCCCCAGGATTACAAGGCCAGCGTTCTAACCGCTAGACCACCGTGGATCTACTAATTCGTGTAACGAATGAAAATAATATTTGTTAAACCGTGAATGGGCGACAGTATCTTAGACAAATAATGTCACAATGACGAGGAAATCTTTAAGTAACGTCATTCGAGTTAAAACCTGGCACAGAAACTGGGTCCATGTTCGGTGGTTCTGGGTGTGGTGTGGCCGGGCGGGAAGGACATCGGGTCTGGGTTTCAGCGTCACACAAAGGCGAGCGACCGATGCGGTGGCCCCCCCCCCCCCCCCGGGGGCGTGGGGCGGGGGGAGGAAGAGCCCGTGCATGCTAATTAGGTTAAAAGCCGATTTTGAACTCGGAGAGCCCGGGCGGAGTAGAAATCTAGCAGCGACCGATGGTTCCAGAGAGACGCAGTCTGCAAACACATTTGATAGCCCGTAGTTATGTTCCACCCGACAAGAGAACGTGGCTTCTTCGTCGTGTAAGCACTGCCAGGCATCGAAGTGCCAATAAAAGACCTCAAGTGGCCTGATCTGTTATATACAGGGTGTCGCAAATATACAAAAATATATTCGCCTTCGACAAGGTTTGTAATACCTTCGAGAGGTTATGGTATTATTATAAATGTAACATTTTATTTGAATATTATTAACTGTGTGTGACTTAAAATTTTAATTTAACAACCATAAAATATGTTTTAAAGTCACTACGTTTCAAAGAACGGCTTCATCCTTATCTTCGGACCAGTCTGGAAACGTTGGACAGAGATAAACCGATGAAATCTAAATCACAGAGAACAGAGAGACGAAGAGATGAGCACAGGTGAATGAAGACCGCTCAGAACTTGCAGAGCAGCGAAGCTTCCAATGCTCAACTGGTAACATAGAACTCCTCCGAAAGAGGGACTGTGACCTTGAAGTATAAAATTTGTAAATTCTCTTACTACATTCCTCAGTACCTTTGTCCGCGATTTCTTGAAACGTATAGAAACTGTGACTGCTAGACTATTTCATTACAAAAATTGTCTTTCTCCGCGAGACATATAAATAATAATATATTTGTTTAAATCTTGTCAGTCTAAATCACAATAAAATTCCTATTAAATATTAAAATATTACTATAATTAACATTTAAATATTTAAAATATATTAAATGATGTTCTCTATCGAAATGTTCGATTTACATTAGAAATATTGCAACATTATTCAACGTTAAAACGACGAACCATTAATCTGCAAGTTCGTTCGCCCCCTTTCCAAAGAATTGCTCTAGGGCAGTTTTAAACTTTGTACGTTTGACAACAAAAGAAGTTTGAGGAAGCTGTTACATATTGAATAACAAACGAATCAGTGACAAGATCAAACACCTTTTTTCGAATGGGCCTGAAAACTTTATAATATTATTAAAAGTGATATTAAACGTATTTCGCTGTTACCGAGGAACGGTAAGCCGATAAGACATTGACACAGTATTAAGGCGTCATAAGAAATTCCTGTCACACATTTGAACACCATAAAACACTCTGCAAGCAACAGACGGCTTGTTTGTGAAGTTAGACGTTTATCAGGCTCAGGCCCTCAGATTCAACTACTCTCTAAAAAAGATGCTAAAAGTATGGCGAAACCTTCAAATAAGAACTTGTATACGCTCAGTTGTCTCTGAAAACGAACCAAATTAATCATAATCTCATCACAAAATTAGGTAGTCTTATTTATTATTATTATTATTTAGTGTTCTGTGTGACGACAGGTCCATATGAACAGGATCCTTCCATCCTTTTCTCGGACTGGGACCTGTTCATATACGTTCTTGGCAGATGATCCAGAAGTGGTTTGCCATTGCCTTCGTCTGTGTGTGAATGGAGTAATTGTTGCCACGGAGAAACCGGGGAAGCCCCCGGAGGAAAACTCCGGGTTGCCTAGACCACGGCCTTGCCCAACAAAAAATAATGTTATTAAGACGGCTATAATTAGCGTCTCAAATATACAACTCTTAAATAAGGTACCATTACCTATCGTCACTTCAGGTACAAGAATTTGCAACATGGAACATAGGAGTAGAAAATGTTTGTTACATTCAGTGGGGAAGGATCTCACCAGATACAGTAGGATGGTTCCCAGTGTGTTGAATAACGAGCCATGGAATAGCACAGGAACTTGTTTCTGGTAGTCGAAACACCTGGAAAGTGATCTGTCTGGTAGATACGTTGTGGAGGTTCCAAGTCTGAGAGTACAGGGCTGTATCACCACGGCAGAATCATCAGACGCAAGCAGATGAGGCAGTCTTGCATTCGCGAGTGGCTTGACTGACAACCAAGGAGATGTTCGTAGCATCATTCTTTCTCTACAGCGAATTGGTGATGTTAGCGTGTAGTCTTATAATACTTAAAAAATTTGTTTTTCTGTCTTTTACAAAATTGGGACCACAAAATATATCAAAAATTTCAGACTGATTTTCAACAAAACAATTTTTCTCCACAATCAAAACTGTTCCTACAGTTCACTACTGAAAATAAATCACAGGCATTG